TATATACACACACACACACACACACACACACTTAATTGTCACATTGTTACCTTGATAAAACCTTGAAATTATTGTGATAATTATTTTAGTATGTATCACCCATCCCTACTCGGTAGTGTTTGTGGCCTCCATGTCCCTGTTTGAATCCTCGACAATGCCTGGGAATGTTCCTGATGAAATGGCGGCTGTTCTCCTGAGGGCTCTCTTCCTAGACCTGGATTAGAGCATTAGTTAGCTCCTGAACAGTCTGTGGTATAATGTGGTGTTGGTGGATCGACCGAAACATGATGTCCTAGATGTGCTCAATTGGATTCAGGTCTGGGGAATAGGAACACTGAAACACTGCAGCCACATGAGACCTAGCATTGTCATGCATAAGAAGGAACCCAGAGCCCACTGCACCAGCATATGGTCTCAAAATGGATGTGACTATCTCATCCTGGTACCTTGTGGCAGTCAGAGCTCCTCTGGTTAGCACATGGAGGGCCTGTGCGGCCATCCAAAGAMGTGCCTCCCCAAACCATGACTGACCCACCACCAAACCTGTCATGCTGGAGGATGTTTCAGGCAGCATTGGCTTTGAATCATGTATAATTTTCTTTCCACTTCACAATTATATACCACTTCATGTTGATCTTTCACATTAAAGTTCAGTGAAATATATTTATTTTTGTAGTTGTAATGTGACAAAATATGGAAAAGTTCAAGGGGTATGAATACTTTAGCAAGCCACTGTACAACTGACAATAATACAAAATGTGCAACTGTGGTTTCTTCATTTTTTGTCTTGCCTTTGTTTTTTTTAATTTTTATGTTTGGTTAAGCTATACAGACACTGGTGTGTCAAAGGTCCTACTATGGGAGTTTTTTATTTTTTGATTGATTTAACTATTAACTATGTATTATTATTTAATTGTTTCTTTGAATGTATGTACAATATGTATGATGTATTTGGAGTGGGAAATTATTGTTAATGGTGTTAAATTGACTTGGTTTTTCATTATACATACAAGTATGGTTACATTCTTTTCTTGTCTTGATGATAAAAGTCAACCGCATTGTTTTGCAATATTTAAAGTAATTCATCACTTAAGTTTTGGTTTGTGTCTAACATTTCAGAGGACACTATGATGATGATGATGATCAGTGGGAGGACACAGAAGAGGAAGGAAGCTTTGACTCAGATGGCAGTTTTTCAAGTGACAAGCATGTTGAAGAACAAGAGTCTCTTTTCATGAACGAAGAAACCAAGAGTCGCTTCACTGAGTACTCGATGTCTTCTTCTGTCATGAGGAGAAACGAGCAGCTTACCCTGCTGGATGACCGCTTTGAAAAGGTGAAATTATAGTAAACAACTTTCWACTCAGCTATTCTTAAAGTATTGCAAATATGAAAAAAGGCTGCAGCAGATTACAACAAGCTGGATGTAAAATTTATTTGACTTCAGGGCCCTCATATAAAAAAGGCATACACCCTTTTCCACACAGAATTTATAATGTATTAACAATGAATTAACCATATAAATGTGTGAAACCTCATGCCAATGTCATAGCGGGTGTACGCATGATTTGGTACTTTTGCTTTGTGTACTCTTGGGATGATCGAAGTATTGCCAATTTTCCTCATTTACAAGCTATGAAAGTCAGATTAACGTGGTTATATCACAATGGTAACAGTTTGGTGAACTGTCAGATATGCAATCCATTTAGTAATACTGTTCTTAATACAGGAAGAAGATGAGACAGAAAAATCAAACTGTAACATCTAATTATCATCACAGGGTTTTCCCCAGAAAACAAAGCCTGGTGTTATTGATTTTAATGCAAGAGGAATGGGTAGTACTGGATTTATCTAACAGACGAGCAATACAAGTTACCTTTTGAGTAATTTCAAGCAAGTTTCAGTAAGTTAGCTTATCTCAGCAGCACACAACGACAACAAACAGCAGTGGGTCTGATCAGTACGGTGGCTGACAGGTCCAAATGCTGCAAACTAAACACACTGCAAACAAAAAAAAAGATGCAAAAAAAATTGTCTATGTTGCAAACTTCAAAACAGACACAATCAACAAATGCAAAAAAAGACGCTGCAAAGACAAAAAATTATGCATTCTAAAAACTGACTGCATGTTAGAAGGATTRTGCAAGTTCAAAAACACAAAACGTAAGCGCTCCAACCCGGCCAGTCGAGGGACTCAAGTTGAGCACTATCAAACCCCCAGACAACCGTAAATTAAACTCTTTTTCTTTTAATAGAAGTTCATATTATTTATTTAACAAATTATTTTATTATTATGTATTATTTATTTGCTTCACTGCAAAGGGGCCAGGACGACTGATCGATTTACATGAAAGAACTAGACACCGCATAGCGGTAACACAATGACCCCACAATGCRTGTACCAGAACTCAGAAGTCTCTATTCCTACCAAATTCCATGCTGCTAGGTCAGGGCTCTGCAACCTTTACAATCAAAAGAGCCATTTCTGCTCCTCGGCTCACTAATAAAATGTATCCAGAGCTGCAAAATAAGCTACAACTGTGATTATCAACTGGTGGTTCGTGGGCCTTTTTCAAGACTTATTTGTGAACCTTTATGGCCAGTGGAGGTGACATAAACCAAAAAAATATATTGTGAATTTTATTATTTATTATTTTTACACTTCAGGACTGAAGGAAAATAAAACATGACACGAAAAATGCTGGCTATAGTTTATACAGAATTTCATAAAAACTAATACAGCTGAATTAGTCAGACATTTTTTGCCCCTAATTCTTATTATTATGTAGTCCTAAAGGTGTTTTAAGATAACCCTGATGGAGTTGAGAGAAAAATCATAGAAAGAATTTGGATTATTTAGGTAGACAACAGGCTAGCATGAGCTAACATGTTTTACTTTTTATATTAGTAGTATTGATCACATATTTGCATACAATTTATTAGTTTTATGAGAATAAAAAATAAAACAAAAAAATCTGTTATGTTTGGTCAAATGTTCAAAGAGCCACTGCATAGGGACCAAAGAGCCACAGGTTGCAGACCCCTGTGCTAGGTGCATTTCAAATGTTATTGCTTTAGGTGGGGGGTGGGTGCTCATTGGTGGGCCTGATGGATAGCCCCTCATCAAAGCTAAAAAACAAAATAAAACTGAAACTCCTATGTTGGGCTTGGGGGGCATTTATTTATAAAAATAAATAAATAAATAAATAGTACAAAAACAATACAAGACTTTTAGACACTTGTTTTATTCTGGTTGTCTTTATTCAGAGGGACTATTTAAAATTTGTGTTATTTTAAGTTTATTTTTTTAACTTTTAGTTTTGCAAAAACATTTTTTATATTTGTATGGTTTTTCTAATCCTAAATAAGTAGGGCAAATTAAAATGAGCACAAACCAAAGATAAAACTGCTGCACAATTTTGGGGGTGGGCCTAGCCCCTCTCGGCCACCCTCACTCGTTGCACCCCTGGTGATTGACAGGTGCTGTTCCACAGAGGAATGACRAGCTGAAGCCACAGCACCGCACATCTTTCTGTTGGACTGAGAGACAATCACAGCCTATATGTGGTTCTAGCTGGAACAATTTGTCTGCTGTTAATAACCTGTAGTTTAGACGTCCTCTCCAGCTGAGCTCTGTGCAGATCAGCTGGAGGCGCGTTATCGTGGTTCTGCTTCATCAGAGCCAAATAATTTTAAAAAAATCTGAAGCTGCTATGTTGAACAGTTTCTAAGTTATAAGGGTTTTTACATGTCTAGACACCCCCTCTTTGGATGGAGCCCCCTCCTCAAATATGGGGTCTATTGTAAAACCGTTGGCTGGTGCAGTGTAGGTCAGACTCTTCAACAGTCCTGCTAAATTTCATTTTGGTTAGTGCAGCATGACATTTATTAGGGATAAAGACTTCTGAGTTCTGGTGCATTGGTGTGTGCGGGGGTCATCATGTTACCACTATGCGGTATCTAGTTTTTAATGAGCTTGAACTGAAAATAAAACAGTGATGGTCTACCAACAGCACCTGTGTTGTTTCAGTTTTATGAACAGTTTGATGATGATGAGATTGGTGCTCTGGACAACGCCGAGCTGGAAGGCTTCATTGAACCGGACAGCAACCGCCTGGAGGAAGTCATAAAAGATTACTTCAAGGAAAAAGCCAATGAGTGAGATTTGTTTAAAAAAATAGTTTTTTTGTTTGTGATAAAACCGATATTGCTGTATGTTTGTTTTATTCAGATTAAATAGCAGTTTACTGATGCGTGTTGTGTTTGTCGCTCAGTGCCTTGAGGCAGTTTTTGGATCCCCAGAAACTGCCTGTTGTAAAGGAGGAGGAGGATGAGGAGGAAGAGGAGATGGAGACTGTTGTTATAAAGGAGGCTCCACAGGAGACTTGGGACTGTGAAACCATCATCAGTAAGTTTTATTTCCACTCGATGTCACATTCCATTTAATTTGTCAATGAAGTTGTAGGTTATGACGGAGTATTAGGGCCACACAACAAGATTTTTTTAAATTATTATTATTACGAGATTAAAGTCATAATTTTATGAGAAAAAAGTCATAATCTTACATGACGTGTCCATTTTCCGTTCCTCATTTCCTCCTATTTTTCCCCACACCTTCTGTGTACAGCCATGTCTTTGTGTTTATAAAGTAGTTTGTGATGACCTGGGTCACTGTTAGATTAATATGCTTTCATCCAAATTAGCTACGTGACTAAATCTGTCAATGCATCCATTAATTACAGTACGGTTTCAGTTTATAGTCGTTTGCATAATTTCCAAGTCCTGCTACTGATAATTTGATGCTAATGTGCTAAAAGATCAAGTATTTATTTATAGCAATACTAAACAACGACTTGACAAGTTGCTCAACATTCCTCATTTAATGCAGTGATAACGGCATGATTTATCATTTAAAGGCTAGAATATTAATGACTTTTTTCTCATAATATTTTGACTTTAATCTCGTAATATTTTGACTTTAATCTCGTAATATTATGACTTTAATCTCGTAATATTTTGACTTTAATCTCGTAATATTATGACTTTAATCTCGTAATATTACGACTTCAATCTCGCAATATTACGACTTCAATCTCGTAATATTACGACTTCAATCTCATAATATTATGACTTTAATCTCGTAATATTACGACGTTATTTTTATACGACTTTAATGTTGTAGTATTATGACTTTATTTTCGTAATTTAAAAAAATAAATGAATCTTGTTGTGGGTCCCTCACACTCCATCGTAGTAACTGCTGCTATTGACTTAAAAGTCTTTCTGTGGTTTTTCTCACTCACGTTTTTGACTTCACATTTTGAAGCATTGCAGATTGATAAAATCACAAAATCCTAGACGTAAAATCTTTTAAAGCTACAAGGTCAACATCTTTAAGGGGACAGTGTTAAAACTGCATATTTACTGCTTTAAAGCTGTAAATCAGATGAAATATATGACCCATCATATCGAAACGAGGATTAAGTCAAATTTGGTCAAAATGACCTTATTACATTTTAAGATTCCTGGTTTTAAAAACTACATTTTGATACCTGGGTCATTCTGATATCWTAAGTAAATCCATATACATGACTTAATTTGCCTTGTTGGTTATGATAATACTTAAATATTTGGTCTGAATCCTAATTTGATGTAATTTTAATGAGGAATTTTTGATGTCCTTATAAAGAGGAAACCTCAAATTATATTTGAATATTGAGATTTCCCAGCTGAAAAGAAACAAAAGTTTGCTAGCTCACAGGGAAAATCTTAAATATTTAAGGCATTTTTCCTCAAAATCAGTTTTTTTGTTGCTACTGTTCAAAAACTGCTTGAAATTTTTGTTTTATGATTATATTTCAGACAGTTCATTTAAATGATACATTGATACGGCACTTATTCATTATGTTTTGACAAAGATGCAATTTTTGCAAACATTTTAATCAAAACACTACATTTGCCTTTTTCTCCATATCCCACTTTTAGACTTAATCCTCGTTTCGATGTGATGGGTCACATATTATTACTTTTTAATATTTATAAAAACATATTTTTCAACCACGGATGTAGTAAAACTAAAAATTAGTGGACAAATTAGCCTGGTAAACTCCAGCCCCTTATTTTTCACTTTGCTTGGTACAGAGGGTTTGCGCTCTTGACTATTGAGAAACAATTTCTTGCTGGAGGCGTGGACTATGTTGAAGTTTAATACGATTGGATCTGATTTACCAATTGCTAATGTTTGGCCGTGTTGCATGCAGTGTGCCAGCTCGACTGTGAAGGAAGCTAGGCTAAGAAGCTAACTGGAAATTATGTGTGTTGTAAACAACCATCCCCTACTGAGGGGAGAGAAGTACTGAGCCTAACGAGATGGCTGTAAATGATTGCTTCAGGCTTTGTGAGACAAATTAAATTTAATTTGGAAGCCTTGTCAACACGGACTGGTGTCAATCACTGCCACTGCTAAACCACAGGCAGACTAAAACAGCTCAGAAAATCGATGTCATCGTACACAACTCCACCTTCTGTTCGCTGACTGGCCTGGTTGAAATTCTGCCAGAGAAATCCTCGTCTCTGGGAGAAATCTTAGACGGAGCAGAGAATGGAAACTAGGATTGAGCAGAAATGTGTAGGAAGGCAAGGGCCAGGCAATGTACAAATAGGACCTTTTTTACATTTTAATTCATATCTTTATGATGTTGGTCCATTGTTTATCCACACCATTAAAAGAAAAACTGATGAACAGACAGGGTTAAACCAGACTGTTTATTTAAAACCATAAAACTTGATGTAGAACAAGAAGCTAGATGTGACTAAATTTACAAGTTGATGTGCTCTTTATGTTTTAAGGTTTCTTGATTAAATTCGATGTTTCTAGTTTTCGTCATTCAGCATCACTTCTGATAAATCAGTAATGGTGGTCAACCATTAGTCACTTATTTCTGCTACAATTTTCAGTTCAAATCTTCTCTTACATCTTTAGAAGGACCCATACAAAAAAATACATCAACATGTGCGGCTCGATCAGGAATAGTTTGCTATGATTTTTAAAATCGTACGATAGGTAGACAAAATTTGCCCCAGAAATAAACAGAAAATTTTTCACTATGAGATTTCGGTAAATAGATGTGAATCTCAGCCCTTCTTGGAGCTCTACAGCTCAGACACACTTAATAGTAGAAGTAAGTTCAAACAGACGTTGACGTGTGACTCTTACTGTTCAGAATTGTTTTTAATATATTTTGTAGTTTTCACACAGTGACAGTCTGGGGATTACTTTCTACTGTGTTGTTTCATAGCTGTGAAGTCTTCGTTAATGACATAAGTTTGATATTTAAGGTGTGAAATATGTGTTGAAGACTGTTATTATTCTGTAAACATTTAGCTTGTTATCCTTATTTATACTGCACATATTTTTTCTCCCCTAGGTACATATTCCAACTTGTATAACAGACCCAAAGTCCTAAAAGAGCCACCGAAGGTATGGAAAACAAAGCTGTACTCGTTAAGATAAACATGGGTTAACCATTTTCCTTGTGGAGAGTTAAAATCACAAGTCTTATGTAAAAGTAAAGAATTTTTCTGCCACTTTTGATGAGTTTGAAAACCTCAGGGTAGGGCTGGGCGATATGACTGAAATGTAGGGATGGGTACCGAATTTGATATTTTTATAAGTACCGACTGAATTCTGTTGGTACTACTGAGTACCTGTTCACGTAAAATCAAATGGTACATGTTTCGGTAACTAAACGCATCATTATGACTGTATTGGCATAAGAGTGGGAGATTTTCCATGCTCCACCTGAACGCTGCATTGTGCAAGAAGCGTACTGACGTCAGCAGCCGCTGGTTGAGTAAACAGATTTCAGTCTGAATGTAGCTGAAAGCCTCACAGCTCCTGGAGTGAAACTCACCGAATAGACCGCCTCTGAATTATCTGCTGGATTAATTATCTTGTGAACATAACGTTCTCTTCAGGGTTCCTGCAGATCCTTAAAAAGTCTTAAAAGGCATTGAATTCATCAATCCAAAGATAAGGCCTTAATTAGCCTTAAAATGTCTTAAATCAATCTTTCAGAAGTCTTAAAAACGTTAACACATTGTAAATAAGATGATTGTAATTAATTTCAAATATTAAAATAATTGGTAACATTTTTTATATTTGCATGCAGACATTCCCCCTTGACATCACCTCCTGTTACTTAGATGCACTTATCTCAACTGTCCATCTGAGCAGTGTGAAGTTTGCTTTGTAATGTGTTAATAATGTTGTCTTTTCAAAAATGCATTAACTTTTCTTACAAATTGTGATGTCACAGGCACTTAAAGATTTCATCTACAGCAAATTGGGGTTAAGACCCCCCCCCCACTTGTGGGTCCTAAAACTCCAAATGTTTTTGCTATATTTGACAAAAAGGCAGTTAGATATGGACAAAAACAGTTGGTCTATGAGCAATTTTTGAATACTTCAACCAAAAATACTTTGATTCATGAGTTTCTGCTACAGTTTTAATTTTTTGTCATTTGTGTTTATTATGAAATTGATCTTAAATTTAATTTCAGATGGCATTAAAAAGTCCTTTAAACTGTAGGAACCCTGCACTTGCTCAAAGTAAATAAATACCGCCACTTTCTTTATTTCATCCATCATTAAACAGAGACCAGCAGAGGAAAACAACAGAGGTGCTTCCCGACACACTGAGCACGTCTGACCTAAAGAGCACAAGCAGCCAACTAAAGTGTTGGGCGCATTTTGGATACTCAAAACGTAGCTTGAATACTTTTTATTTAATTTAACTCCATCCTCTTTTGCTTATTTGATTTAAACTTATTTGCCTTCCATGGACCTCATCACACATTTTTTCTAGCGGAGAAATGACATCGATAGAAACACGTGGAGCTGGATTTTAATTTGACAATAAGACAAAACAGTCTTGTTGTTTTGAAATTAGTTAAATAACTGATGTTACAATACAAAGAGTTGGATGTTGTCTTGATATTTGTTAATTTTATATATTGAGAAATATGTTAAATTAAAAAAAATTAAGTTTGTTATAAAAAAACAACACACACAAAGTACCGAAAATTGGTACCATTGAGTACCGGTACCGATTCCCAGATACCGGATATTGGTACCAAATCGATTTGAATGTCAAAGGTACCCATCCCTACTGAAAAGTGTATCAATATAAGTGTTTCATATTAGTTGATATAAATAATTGATTAGTCTTTTGTTTTAAGAAAAGGTACCCCAAAAATATATTTTTTCTCATATGTGACCCATATCTGCCACAGCCACCCAAAGTAGTATCATAGTTATTAGGTTTTCTTATATTGTTATTATGCCCATGTTTAGTAGAGTTATTAGCAAAGTTAGCATACTGTATGTAAACTAGAAATATCTGGAGTCCCAAGTTTCTGCAGCTGCTATTTTTTTGTGGGCAGGAAACAAAACAGTTTGAAAACCACTGATCTACAGGATATTCAGCTTTTTCTGTATATTCAAAAAAAACTTACATTTATGTTTTAATTGATACTTTTATTTTTTTAATACTTGTACAGTTCAGTTAATATTTAAAGAGCACCTATTATAGTGGTCCTAGAACAAGTTAGGATCCATCTGTGGGCTATACAAAACGTTCATTTGATTCACAAAATGAATCTAGAATCTCAGAGCGAGATTACTCCTTTTCAGTTCTGTCTGTTCTGAGCTCTCTTCAAAACGAGCTGTTTATGCAAATAAGTTGCTGTTGGCAACGCCCTGCCAACGTTTTGTTTAATGTTAGCTCTGCCCTCCCAACATGGTGTTTGTTAGAACTTCAGAAATGTAGAAATAAATAGCTAGTATGAGCAGATTTACAATTGTTTAACAGTAGTAGACGGGCTGCGCGCAGTGCGGCCACCCCCCAGGCTTGGTAGGGGAAGACTGGAGAGTCTGACTGAAGTCAGGCGCCTTGGTGTTGGGGAGACCAGTGTGCATTGTTCGCTCTCCCTGGGGGGTCTTCAACAAGCAGTCTTCAACTGCTTGTAATTTTAACTGTCTTCAGTTAGCATATAAATGGTTTTTACCAGCTTCTAGCCAAGATTATGACGTTTCTGTAGATACCAAACGTGTATGTTTAACTAAAAGAACTTATAGTAATTAAAGTAGAAAACCAGGGGTTTGGGCTTGAAGGGATCCCTGATTAGTTGTAACTTTAGACTTTATTTGATAAACATATATTTTAACTGTAAAATAAAGACTATAAAAATGCTGTAGGCTGTTTATTTTTGTAAATTTTTTAAAATATATTTTAACACGGACAGAACCATTTTATTTACACACAAAGCACTCTGGGTAAATGATGACGTAGATAGGTCCTCGGTGTGAGCGAGCTATATCCACCCTGAAGGTTAATCTTAGACAATATCTGACGATCTACTCTTTTAAATGAATCCAGAGAGCGTTGACAGAGAGAAGGTAGAAATGACTCAGCCTGTAACTGAAAATATGGATAGAGGACAACAGAGCTGCTTCATGGAAGAAAAACCCCAGCTTAGCCTGTTAGCCTTTGCTCTACGCTATATTGCCTTATACAGTATGTATTAGCTCGGCGCTAGCGCGACAAACAAGCTACACTGAGGTCCTCCATCCATATTTTCAGTTACAGGCTGAGTCATTTCTACCTTCTCTCTGTCAACGCTCTCTGGTTTCATTTAAAAGAGCCAATCGTCAGATATTGTCCAAGATTAACCTTCAGGGTGGATATAGCTCACTCACTCCGATGACCTATCCACATCATCATTTACCCAGAACCCTTTGCATGTAAATAAAATGGCTCCATTTGTGTAATATATTTTTAAATATTTTGTTTAAAAATGATAAAAACTGACAACTAATGGTGGATCCCTTTAAGAGATGAATGAACCAACTGGCGGGCTGTACTTTGGTTACTCATGGGCCACGCTGCTAGTTGAATAGTCCTGATGTAAATGTTGTCCCCCCCGATTAGAAATGGTACAGGCTAATGTTTTAAAAGTGGGGTGGTTTAAACAGGGAGGACAGTCTTCTTTTTGTGGGTGGTTGAGGAAAGTGAAAGCCATGTTCTGCTGTGAAGATCCAGAAAGGTTTTGACTCTGCCCACAACCTAACATTACCCATTACACATGATGAAACTGTAGCTTTCCCAAAGAACTCCTTTTAGAAAACATCCACACACACAGTGGACAAATGTGTAGATGTACACTGATGTACTTTTTTTCTGTTTTTTCAGCCAAAGCCAATCCGTGTGTCCAATAAGACCGGCATTCCTCTGGACGTTCTTTCACCCAGAGGTCCCACAGCCAAACAAACGGAGCGCATGACGAGAATCAATGACTCAGACCTGCCGCGTATCTCCACTCAGGCCCGAAACAAGGGGGAGAGCAAAGAGGAGAGGAAAGCAAGGAAGCAGGCCATCAAAGAAGAGCGGAAGGTGAAGAAGCTGCTGTTTTAGCCTTTAACACCTGGGCCACTTGTTCAAATCTGGAATCTGGATTGAAATTATCCAGATTTTAAAATCCCCCCTTTTTTAAGGATCACATTATCTGCATTACTTTTATCCCAGTTGTTCAAAAAAAAAAAAAAAGTGGACTAGCTCTGTCATATCCAGGTCCAACTTTTTAAGATGACCAAATCTGGAAAATAAGCACTTTAAATTAGACTGTATATTCCACTTCAGGCTATGAATGTAGAAAAAACAGGCAGAACAGACAGCATGTGGTCATTTAAAGTATATTTATTAGAAGAAACAGTAATAGAAAATAGGGCTGGGTATCGATTCAGATTTCCCAAATCGATTCGATTCGATTCACAAGGACCCGATTCAATTCGATTCACGATTCACAACGATTCACTACGATTAACAACGATTCACATCAATTCACGATTTAATTTGATTGATTTTTAAATTAATGAAGAATGTCATGCAGTAACACATTTACTTTGACATAGAAGACATTCTCAAAGGAACTAATAGTAGATAGTAGTTCTACTAATAGTAGAAACTAATTTTAACTCTGTGCATTGGCAAAATCATAAACATTAACAACATTAAGAATTGAACCAAATGCAGTTACATCAGTTGTGTACTTTTTATTTAACATGAACTCAACAAAACAAAAATGATTTTTTTGCTAAATTCAAACCACAGGGCAAACTGCATAAATAAAATGGCTCCAAACACTATAAACTCAAGACATTCATTTTCAGTCCTTTGACTGTCACAAATCTTTAGTGCAAATGTTAGTGTGTGCAAAATATCTAACTGTGCAACAATACAAATGAATGAATTGTAAATAAAAGCAAACAACCAAAATTAATAATAACAAACCTGAGTTGTCTTATAGTGCAATAAGTCTTTTTTTATATATAAATGTCAG